GGGAAGCCCTGTTTTCCACACCCTATGGTCGTATGTGCCTTGATTCTTCTGGAAGTGGTCCATATAGGCACTTATTGAACACATTGTGCGTCGAGATCCAGAGCAACGAGCAAGGACCAATAAACATTCCCATCATATTAGCAAATATCTGCGACATCGATGAAGCTATATGTCTCGGGGGCTGTTGGTGGTAGAGTCGTGGTGATGTACAAGGGACGACATGGAGCTTACCAGACCCACCCCGAATTGTTGCTCGTAGGGCGTGGGGATGTCTCTAGTATATATATCTAGTGCGGGATCCGCTATAATCATTGTCAGATTTCACATTACCAGAGGTTTAGACCAGCCCACAACTCCTCAGGGTATATTGAATATAGACATTTAAGATGAGCACAAGTCCATCCCCGACACACCACCATATTGTTTTCCTCCAGGCGGATTACTGTCCAATTCCCGACTTTCGCTTCCCGCCCGGTCACACTTTTACTACGACCGTCTATCAGCAGACTTCGCTCTCAGAACTCCATTCGCGTATTCATGATGCCTCGGTTGTCGTATTCTCATATATCCCCTTTGACGCGCACACACTCTCCCCCGAAGTGACACCTCATCTCAAGCTCATTGCCGTCGCAGCAGTGGGCACAGATTGTATTGATCTCGAAGCATGCAGAAAGAGAGGGATCATTGTGAGCCGATCCGTTGGCGCAAACGTGGATTCAGTTTCAGAGCATGCAATCGGCTTGTACTTCGCTTCGCGGCGGCGAATACTGGATATGCACATGTTGACAAGAGCGGGCGAATGGGCCCGTCAGAAAGGAACCATCATGTATCAACTTCTTGACAAACATGGCCAGCCTCCTTTGAGTGCCCAAGATGAAGTAGTTGGTATTATCGGAAACGGGATTGTTGGTAAGTCGGTCAAGTCTGATGTGGTTCCGTCAATTATTGCTCTCGAGGCTGACATACAATCGCAGGACAAAGGATTGCTCAGCTCGCACGTAACCTGGGAATGAAAGTGCTCATATCAGCGCGGAAAGATCCTGCAGCATCAGAGTCACCGAGCACGGTCGATACCATTGAGCGAACTCCATTCGATGCGGTCATCAGACAAAGCACGGTCATTTTTGTGGCAGTGCCGCTGAGTCCTTCAACGCAAAACCTCATATCCACCCCAGAATTGGAAAATATGTCACCGCATACCGTCATTGTTAATGTCTCCCGCGGAGGAATTGTAGACGAAGACGCACTAATCGAAGCTCTGAGAAAGGGTACAATTTCTGGAGCGGCCACGGATGTCTTCCGTCAAGAGCCTGCTGGATTGGATAACTCCCCACTACTGTCCGACGGGACAAAGGACCTAAATCTAATTGTCACTCCTCATCTAGCGTGGCTGTCGAAGAAGACCTTGGCCAACTATTCGCAGATGGTCCAGCAGGCCATTGAAGGATGGAGTGCAGGACAGCCATGCAATGTCGTGACATAATGATCGACTGATATCATATATTTCAGGACAAATAGCCATGTTAGCGAATGAATTATATTAATTAGCAATGCACCTGTTGTCGTTGTACACGAGGACTGCTATAGTTACCCCCAGTAGACGCTGACATCACTGTGGCTTATCTTATCGCTTATCATATCGCTTATCTCACCGGTGTTGAGTCACGCGTCGCCTCAAACTCCGATTATTCTGTGCTCCCCTCACCAGTCATGACAAATCAGCCCTTCAACTGCCATATTGTGGTTGATCTTCCTCCAAGTCTATCGAATGGAACGATAATTGCAGCTCTGAGAGATGTATCTTGACTTGCAGTCTGGATGAATTATCAATCCATCACCATGGCGGCTAATGCCACCGACAATGGCCACCGCTTCGACCCCCCCGAGCAAGCTGGCTCAGCTATCCCCGGCAGTTCTGAAGGTCACGAGGAGCGGAGCCCTGGATACTGTGACGATGTATCCAACCCGGAACTGGAAATGGAGAGATCATCTCGGACATCCCCTCAGAGTTTCACTCCCCGTTCCCTCTTCGTTGGACTCGTCATTGGCGCCTTGATCACTTTTTCCAATACCTACTTCGGCTTGCAGACCGGCTGGATCAGCACAATGGCCATGCCTTCAGCGCTTATCGGCTTCTCTGTTTTCAAAGTTTTCTCCAAGTACCTCTCTTATCCGTTCACGCCGATAGAAAACGTCCTTATTCAGACGGTGGCTGGGGCGGTGGGAACTATGCCGTTAGGGTGCGGGTTTGTTGGCGTCATTCCCGCGTTGGAATTCCTGGTCCGAGACGGGGACGATGGGCCTTCTGGCGACGGCGGCACCGGGGAAGGTGGTCCATTGAAGCTCAACTTCTGGAAACTGGTGCTTTGGAGTCTGGGAGTCTGCCTCTTCGGGGTTGTCTTTGCCGTCCCGCTGAGAAAGGAGGTAATCGTCAGAGAGAAACTGAGGTTTCCGAGTGGGACGGCATCGGCGCTCATGCTCAGAGTACTACACGGAAGTGGGTCTAGCGACGAGAAGGTGAAGAAAAAAAGCAATTCGACTGCAGTCTTACGAGGAGAGGGTCAAACGCTTGCCTTGACGCATGAAACCGGAGAGGAAGAGGGAAATGCGCTACTGCAAAAGGATGATAGCGAACGTCAGTTAGCGGACAGACGAGATTGGAGATCGAAGATGCGGCTCCTGGTGGGCGCTTTTGCGGTGTCCGGTGTCTATGTGAGGTCTCCCGCCGTCCTAAACCGAGGCCGCGACACTAACTGTGACAGACCCTCTTCTCCTACTTTGTCCCTCAAGTCCGTGATGTGCCCATTCTCGGTCTTTCTCTAGCACAAAACTGGCTATGGACTCTCAACCCGTCCCCCGCATACATTGGCCAAGGAATTATCATGGGCCCATCTACCTGCATGCATATGCTTTTTGGGGCCATACTCGGCTGGGGCATCCTATCTCCGCTCGCAAAGGCTCGTGGCTGGGCCCCTGGGCCTGTGGATAGCTGGGAGGATGGAAGTAAGGGCTGGATTGTATGGGTTTCTCTAGCCATCATGCTGGCCGACTCGCTTGTCAGTCTTGGTTGGCTGGTTTTGAAGCCCGTCATCGCCAACGCTCCGAAGCTCAAGGGCAGATTCTTTTCCAGTCGCGCCGGAAAATGGATTCTGGCTCAAGGGACGAACAGCGGTTTTCGCCATTCATACGTCAGATATTCCGCACTGAGTCCCATTTCTGAGGAGTCATCGACAGCAGCCTATTCCACCCATCTCCCGGCAAGGCACGGCGAACCCGAGGAAGAAGATGATGCGCCGCCTTCCCAGCTCATCTCTACTCGAACCGTGGCGATCCTGCTTCCCCTGACCCTGATATTGAACGTGGTCTGCATGCACATTGTCTTCGGCGACGTCATGTCGCCCTTGCTCTCCAGCCTGGCCACTCTTCTCGCCGTGCTACTATCAATAATGGGCGTACGGGCACTAGGCGAGACAGACTTGAACCCGGTCTCCGGAATTAGCAAACTAACCCAGCTCCTCTTCTCTCTGGCAACACCCGCCTCACACTTCTCCCGTCGCACCGCCCTAATCACCAACCTCCTCGCCGGCGCCGTTTCCGAATCCGGCGCCCTGCAGGCCGGCGACATGATGCAGGACCTCAAAACAGGCCACCTGCTCGGCGCAAGCCCCAAAGCCCAGTTCTACGGCCAAATGATTGGCAGCCTCGTCGGCGCCGTCCTCTCCACCGCCGTCTACAGGATGTACGTGAGCGTCTACCAGGTCCCCGGCCCCATGTTCCAGACTCCCACCGCCTACGTCTGGATATTCACCGCCCGCCTCGTCACTGGCCAAGGCCTGCCCCCCATGGCCTGGCAGGCCTCGCTCCTCGCAGGCACCGTCTTCGTCGGCATCACCATCCTGCGCATCTACGCCGCCTCGCCCCTGGCGAACGGCGGCCGCCGCAACGTCTCCGCTCCCTGGAGGGCATGGGTTCCCGGCGGTATCGCCGTCGCCGTGGGTATCTTCAACGTCCCTTCGTTCACGCTGGCCAGAGCAATCGGCGGGATAATTGCCTGGTGGTGGTCGCGGAAGCACACAAGCACCACCACCTCGGATATCCCGGGCGAGACTGTAGCAGACCAAACACCCGGAGAATCGAGAGTGCCCGCCGCTGTGGCCGGGAAAACAGCCGAGCAGGCCGCCCGAGAAGCGGACGCGGCGTCATCGTCGGTGGTGGTGCTAGCCTCAGGGTTGATCCTCGGAGAGGGAATCATCAGTATTGTCAATTTGCTTCTGGCTAGTGGGAATGTTCCACATCTCTAGATAGACGGCATACTAGAGTTAGAATAAAAGCTTCCTCTATATATAACTTTTCCAGTACTACCTTACTATAGTCACCCAAGGGTGAGTCCGCGCAGTGTAAGTCCCTGGTCAGCCAGGCCGGTGCCGCGGGCACCAGCACAGTCAGTCAGTCAGTCACTTCTCAGCTAACAGGTAGTGGTGGCAGCGGTAGTGCAGCGAGTACGTCTACGTCCAAGGCTGCAGCTGTGAGTGCTGTGACTCCAGCTGCAGTGTGCGTGGGCAGCTGGCCTTTTGGTTGTGTATGGGGTTGTTGCTGCCATGGCTGGTGTCTTGATGATTTCGCTTTAGTGGTGGATGTACATGTACATGCAGTAGAAGGAGAAGGTGGATATATCTTTTGAGGGATTACCGTGTCCAGTCTTCAAGGCGCTCTGTACACTGTTCTTAATAACATTCGTGGAAATTCTTAGAGATAAAGACGAAAGCTTGGTCTGTATTGCCTACTTCAACTGACTATCAACCTGGTTGCAAGCAACGGTGTATCAAAGAGCAAAGGCATCTGAAAAAAGAAAAGCATATCCCACGTAAATAAACCGTAGCGAATAACCACCACTTGCCAACGCAACACCTGCAGATCAGCGGTCGAAAGAGGATGCTGCTCACTTGTCCCAGCATGATATGGAAAAACCACGCAGGACGGTGGAGACCACAGACCGAGAATTAACCACCCAGATGGCGCTGAGAACCGGATGCGGGCGGCTTTCCGAAGATAGCATGCATCTCTGGGAGTTCCGCGCTCATCGTGCTCTCATCGCACTTCTGCATCAGCTCGAAATCCACCATGGTTACAGTCCGGGTGCCTGGTGAGTAGAGGACATTGTGTTTTCCCGAATCAACTGATAGGTACCCAATGTGTCTCAACACCTCGACGGCCTTGTGGATAGTCGCGCGTATATGGTCCCGGTGATCCGAAGAGAGGAGGTCCCACTGACGGTCCAAGGGCTCGCCTTGGACTTTCTTGATTATCATGATGTGTCCTTTGGGGAATATCGAGGAGCAGACGATTTTCCCGTGAGTCTGAAGAGGGGCGAAAAACTCGAAGCCTGCTGGCCTCAGCTGGTACAACCTTTCGTATGTGCTGACCTCGTGTACATATCTAGAATTACGGTCAGTGGTTCTGTCTACATGAGTGCTGAATGAAGTGCTCGTACCCTTGGTGACGTGCGTTTGACCAACATTTCGCAATAGCGGGCTGACCATTCCAGGTAACCTCATAGAGTGCTTTGGTATGAGATCCTTTGATTAGCCGATGGCAGTTGACCCATTCCTGGGCCACCCCATCTTCGCCTCCGAAGAGGATCGACTCAGATCCCATGGCTTCTCGTGGAGTGTTAGTTTTCGTGGCCACTTCATTACGAAAGGGAGATGGTCGCATAGAGGCTTGAACGAATGGTTCGAAAGGGATTTTCAACTGCCAACGAGAAAGGAATTAGCTTGCCAAACGCGAATTTCCAGGACCCTATCAGGCCGAAAGACTAGGTGGCACTCACGCGGGCGGGATTGAAGTCCGGTGCCTCTTTGTATTTGCCGTCCTGAGAAGCGAGAAGACAAAGCGCAACGAAACACTGGCGGAGGGATGGGTTCGTTGCTTTTTCATCGATGGGCAGAGACAACTCAAATCGAAAATCGCTAGTCCTGCGAACAAACACGGTGCTGCGATAGGTAGAAAGGAAGCCGTATTTCAGTTCGTTAGTCCGCATGTAGGACACCAATTGACCTAGATACATCAGCAAGTAAGCATATGATTCTGTAGGGTTCATAATACCGAAATGCGGCTGCATTGGGGCTATTCTCGCCGGGCCTCTATTAACTGGATAGTCCTCTAGCAAAACCGTCCAAAAGGGTTTGAGTCCCCCGACGGTTATGACGTTTAATCTCGGTGCAGAAAGCACGACAACGTCAGGTACGTCGCTACATTGCGTGTGAACAGCCGCTTGAAAATCCCCAAAGGTAAGGTGAGCGTGCTCCGTCACGGAAAGGACCTTGGCCACTGGGTCGCAGACGTGTTTGTTGAATCTTCCAGTAAGTCCCAACTCATTGCCAACATGGTAGTGCTCATTCATGTCGGAGTCGTCAGTCACAGAGACATTGGCATCGAGACTCAACGTGTTGCACAATGTCAGCACCTGACTGGGAAAGCCAATCCACTCATGGAGAAAACGAGCTGAGATATCCTCTCCTGAGATAGAGACGTTCGTAGTGCCACGACTTTGAGTCAAGTGAGGGACTGGCCTTTCAACCAGCTCCCTGGCAGACTCCATGGCAGCGGGATACCGAAACAGAGGGACACAGAGGAGTTTCTAATGAAGACAACAATGATTGATAGGGATGGATTATCAGAAACAAGAAGATGAGGGAAAGATATACGGAGGGATGGTTGATGGAAGATGAGAAAGTGAGGGAAAAACAACACAAGACGGGGTCGCGGAAGGAAGAGAGAGAGCTGGGTGATTGTGAAGTGAGAGAAGGCTACCCTATGTACTGGATATTTCTCTTGTACTTGAATCAAAGATGGTGAATGTTAAGTAGGAGCTGAGTCATTGAGAGGTTAGATCCATGGTAATTCACAAATCAACCCCAAAGCTACCATCATTCCACTCCGGGAAGAGCTGTGCCTTGAGACTTTGATCTTAAGGCATTAGTTAGGTACTCTAGTACAGGATATACTGGAACAACTAGAAACGCCTATATGTTGTAGAAACAGGTTCATTGACTAATTGAACAAGGCTTGTTGAGCCATCATGATATTCACCAGCCGCACCGAAGCGGTACCTATAGTAGCTTTTTCCCTACTAGAACCATGGAAGCACGAGTTGAAGAGAGTGGCTTAGCAGGCAGAATAGAGTAGGACATACGCAGGTCTCTCAGCCATATAAAGTCGGATGGAGTCTACACTTGGTGTATTTCATGGCCAAATCCTAACATAGATTGCTTACTTTTCTGGTTCTGCCATGTCACTGTAGTGCATTGACTCGATAACTTCTGTTATACTTGAAAATCCACATTTTGAACTAGGCGTGCTGTAAGGTCTGTAAGTCATGTGTGTCATTCTTTTAGCTACGGTCTCTAGCTAAGCTAGTAATACAGCATGATAACTAAGGGGTCATGTAACAGAGACCCCCACACAAGAAAAAAACGCGATGGCCTCATTGCTACTGTAAACAGAAGAAAACACAATGAAAGGTAAGGGCATATTAAGTTCCATCTAACACGTAGGAAGAACAGCAATGGCAGGGAATTCTAATAAGTAAAAGTGATTATAGTGGGAAAACCACAACTCTTAGGGCTAGGCCATCTGCTTTGTTTTCTTAAGCTGGATGCCATCTAGGTGAGTCTTATAGGTTACTCTAAGCTTAACTAGGAGGTCCTGTAGCCATTTTTAAGGGTCTCTAATAGGGGCTATTCAGTTAGGTAATTCTATTTAAGCTATAAGTTGTCTAATTAAGTGATCCACTACTCCTCTATATCTCGGAGCAGCATCACAGCATCATCAAAGTATATGGTGTCTGGGTAACCAGATGCTTTTTGGAGCATATGATGCAAAGCTGGCGCCAGAATGCCCCACAGAAATTTCAAGGTGTCCAGTTTAGCTCTCAGCAGCACATCCAAGCAGGAGACCCAATCCGGCCAGTTAGTCTTGTCAAAGAATGCATTCACATCTTAGGGGAGATTAAAAAATTGTATGGTTTATCCCTGCGTGTTGGTGCCTTAGCAGCCTAAGTAAGATACCTTTCCATGATCCAGAACATGAGAAGCTTGCAATTTGTTGGTCTGGGAATGCCAGGGTCCTTGCTGACTTCATCATCATCGTTGTCAAATTGCATGCGCAGGCCCCTTTTGATAGGCGTAGCTTTAGAATAGGAAGGAGCTGGTGAAGACTCTGATTGGACATTCTGAATCAGCTGGGGAGGGTGACCGCGTTTGAGCTTCCTGCCATGGTTTTCCGAGGTAGTGGAGTGACCAATGTAGTGGAATTGGCAACAGTGGTTTTCCCAGTGGGTGCTGGTCAAGGTCTGAAGGACGGATGAGTGCAGGTTCAGAGGGAGGAACGCTTAAAAGTACTCTGCTGTCCGACTGGGAAGGTACGGCTAGGGAAGATGTAGTAGTATTAGTATTAGTTGGTATAACTGCCGCTATAGGAGGGGTTGGTTTTACTAGGATAATGGCTTTGCTGATGGCTTTGATCTCTTTTTGGACTAAAAATCAGCCGGTGACCCAGTCTAGGGGCCCCCAATATCTGCAGCTGTTGATTTCGCTCGCTGGAGGGGTGGGGAGGTTGTATTGAGTGAGCATATTAAGAAGGGTCTCAGTAAAGCCGAGTCTCGCCCACTTGGCGAAAGCTGGGAGTGTGAGGAAGCTGTGTAACTATTGTATCCGGATAAGCAGTTCGTCAGGGAGTATACATATCATCATCTGTAGAAGAACAAGAACTTTTCCAAGGATTACAGCCTTTATTGAAACTATTCTGATTTTGCTGTATTCACTACTATCTACATAGACTGCCCCCAACTATACATGAACGATCAGAGAAACATACAGGATTATTGCTGGAAGCCAGACCCCTTCCTTTGATTCTCATTCTCCGATGTAAATGAGAAAGGAAGACAAGAGTAACTGAAACTGGCGCACTGTATAGGGGTAGAGATAGAGCACAATGTATGAACCTCAAGATCAACATCCTATCTCAAGAGAGGGGGAATAAAAAAAAAAAAAAGTTAAAGCTGAAATAAGTGGGTATTCCCGTTTGAACATGACATGGGCAGAGCTTTCTCTTACTTCGAGAGGAGACAGTTGCCGGCATCGTAGAAGAAAACGTATAAGAGGAGGGATAGAAAGATACTAAGTATGAAAGAAAGTCCTCCGAGGAGAAGAGAAGAGAAATCGAAATAGCAGGTTGACAGGGCTCATTCGTCCCAGACGCAGGTAATACTCATACCAGGCTCGTTTCCGTCCAGCGGCAATAACAATCAACTGCCCCCCTCATATCAATCAATTGCATTTGCAGGTCGCTTTCGTTCACATTTGGACATTCATAAGCCTATTGACTTCACGCGTGGTCATCTCGAACTAGTGCTTGCGGCGGTGGCGGAGTGGGAATTGCTGGGAGAGCACCGGACGGAGGTGGCATCATTGGCCCGGCCAGAGGGCTTGGTCCTGGTGATCCTGTTGAACGAGGAATAGGTCCCACTGACCCACCTGCGCTGTTGCTACGTTTCCGCTGGCTCGCTGGCATCTCCGGTCTCTGCAATCCTGGGGGTCCGTAAGGTCCAGGACTCATGGATCTTGGCGGCATTGGCCGGCCACCGGGACCTGGCGAGAACGATCGCGGAGTGGGAGGAAACTGTGCAGGAGACATTGGGTGCTGGGGATACGGGCGTGGGGGCGGAGGTCCGCCATGAGGATGTTGAGCTGGGGACATTGGGCGCGGGGCCGAGGGCGACCGCGGGCGGGGATCATGAGGATAGAAGCCAGGAGGTGGTGGTCCCATAGGTCCTGGAGGTCCAGGAGGAGGACCCCAAGGGCCGTTGGGTCCCATCATTGGCGGTCGGGGCGGCCCGCGGGGGCCAGGGCCAGGGCCGGCTCCTGGAGGCGGACGGGCTCGAGGCTTCACGGGACGGGCAGAAAGGCAAGACCGGGGAACGACACCTTGCTGCGAGCGATCGAGTCTGACGCAGAGCGCCCAGCCATCGTCATACTCGTGCAGAAGTCGAACGAGCTGACCGGCGTGCAGCTCCAACTCATCCTCCATTGAAGGCTTGAAATCCAGTTGCACGCGATGAACATTGCTTGGCCCGGGAGGAGGGCTTGCAGCACCGCCGGGTCCGAACGCTGGAACAGCAGCAGCCACGGCAGCAGTGGCGATCGATGCAGGATCAGCGCTAACGGCGCTTACAGGACTTTGAGCCGAGCCTTCGGGAATCGATGATGCTTGAGACGATGAACTTTCTGGGCGGCCAGGTAGGTCTTTGTCGGAGGTTTTGGCCGCGGCAGAGGCAGTAACACCACCAGCCACTGCGGCTCCGGTAGCAGCAGCTCCAAGAGCAGCTTCTACGCCAGAATCGCTCGGTGCCGGCCCAGTGGGTGACATGGGAGATTGAGGAAGAGGAACCGCCGAGGGACTCGGCGGGCCTGTCGCTGCAATAGGGGAAGGAGCTTCTGCCTGATTGCCAAAGGGATTCACTGGATCGCCGAACGGGTCTGTCCTACTGACGCTCGACTGTGGCGTATGGGGCGGCGAGGCATTGCCGGTCAAGTTACGCGATCCAGCTGCAGCGACTCCCAGTGTAGCACCAGCACCAGCACCAGCACCAGCCCCAGCACCAGCACCAGCCCCGCCAGCGGCCCCGCCAGCAGCGAGAGCGCCCATAGGGGTCAGATCTGGTGCAAACTGAGTGACAGGGCGGACATTGAGCTGTGGAGGTTCAGATGGGGTCATCGGTTGGGGTTTTGGCGGAGGTCCAGGGGGAAGCATATTATCGGCTTCATAGGATTTTTCTTTGACTGCTTCGGCCTCTGCCATTTGTTGGCCTTGCTTCCTCTTGCGCATAAAGAAGAAGATGAAACCCGCGATCAAACCAAGTCCAAGAATCACACCAATTGCAATACCCGCTTTTGCACCCCCGGTAAGTCCCGAGCTCGAACCGGCAGCAACTGGAGAGGCCGATGGTGAGGCCGATTTTTCCAGAGACGATGATCCATGGGTGGTAGTCGTAGTATCCAAACCTGGGACAGTCAGCGACGAAGTTGAGCTAGAGGTGGCCGTAGAGAAGGTGGTCGGAGTGGTGATGTCCTCAGTGTTGTCGGTGGTGATCGCCTTGGTCGCCTTGGTGGTACGTTCAGTGGTCGTGGGTTCCGCTTCGGTGACCGTAGGCTTCGTCTCTTTGGTTGTTTTCGGCTTCGGTTCGGCCGTCGTTGTTTCTTCCTCGGTTGTGGAAGGTCGTGTGTGTCCAACGGGAGCGCCGAGACCCTGGTTCGGGCGTGTCGCCGTTTCTGCCGGGTCTACACCCGTTACATAGCCGCCGATAGGACCCTCAAAGGTGGGAGCTGCCGTCACATAGACGATGGTCACGGCTTCATTCTTGGGATCTCTCTCCTCGAGACTTCGCTCCTGAAGGGCAGCGTGATGGTCGCGATGCGCATGAGCGTGCACCATGATTGCGATTGACGTTGTCACTCTTGCTTCGCTGCCGGTTGAGTCAATTGGATCAGACAATAATGACGGCAGGAAGCATAGACTTTTGACGATGATGGTGTGATGAGATGGTAGGTCTTGCAGAGACCTGATATAATGATAACGAGAGGACGGGAATCTTGCCCATCAAAACAAAAAGACCCGACAAGACGTGTCCAGATCAATGATGGGCCTTTACTTCGTACTTGTCTGATCAAGCAGGCCGCGTTTCAAAGCAAAGGGAGCGCAAGCGCGTCAAGGAATGTGGTAGGTAAAAGAATGAATCTGGGATATGGAGGGGCTGGCGGACTAGCCACTCAATGAATGAAAGAACCACGAGCTGCCAGGCCGCGAGAGTGTCAAATGAAGGAAGGGATACCAAAACGTGGAATGCCCACGAATTGGGAGATGGAAAAAGGAAGAAAGTCGCAAAAGGGAAAAGAAGGACGAGAGAAGGAAAGAAAAGAAGCGAAAGGAAGGCAGCTTTGGTGGTGATGGCCCCGAGCGGGAGAGGCAGACGCCCTAACACTCAGTAGAGAGCATCAACAGAATAATTGCTCTGGGGCTGTCTGTACTCTGTCTGTACTTAGTCTCCCTGTGTACCTGTGTAAGAGAGGGAAAATGAGCCACCGTCAATCATTTACCACAAACGGGCGGAAGTAAACGAAATGAGATCAGAGCTAAAAATGAGGGGAGTGGCCAATCACAAGCCAGAAAGACACGGGCTGGGTCTGACCACACTAACCAGATGGGGCCATCCTCCCTGGTCCAGACCCGCTGTTCGCAGGGTCCTGCCATTGCTCATTGGTTGAGGTGTGTGACGGTGCCTGGTTTCATGACCGTAACGACCAACACGAGGACTCAGCGAGCCGCCATAATTCACCTCATTGTTGGATTCGATCATTTCATGCTTATCATGATTGTTTTAAATACAGTTATGTACCGACCACTTTGAGTATGTAGGTACGCACAGAGTACCTGATATTAATTGTCTGGGATATGACAAGGTGGGAGAATCACAAAATCTGCCTCGTTGACAGGACACATTAAGGAAGGTTTAGCCTTGAGCACGACATTACAGAGTTACTCGTGAATCTCTAAAACAAGTCAAGGCAGCCTAATTGATCGTTCTCTGACGCTCCGTACAGACGTTCCAAAATTCCATTGCCGGATACCCAGCATCCATGGGATAAGCAAATTATGGACCTCACTTCCATCTTACCCCCTATTCTCAGTCCCTAGATTCTCGCTGTCTACCTTGGGAGTCAACTTCTTCTCTGCGCACAGCACATTTTCAAGTAATAATCTTTTATCCTCGCACACTCGGTTGCCTGCATCACTCTGTGCTCTCTACCTAGTCATCACTGTACACCGTAGTTAATTAGTTATCAGCATTGTGCCGCTTTTTTTTGGTCTCATTATTAGCCAAGCCCCTCTTGTTCTCCGCCATCTCCGGTCGTCCCTAGCGCCATTTACTTTGATGAAATTTAATCATCCCATTGGGGGCTGAAGGCTGCTTTCCATTCTTCTTCTCTGACTCCAATTCATAACTAGTTATTTCAAGACCGTGGATCTTGATTTGTGTGCGCCACGCAGATATCTATTTAAGATGATTTTGACTGCAAGGTGTGATTGTTACACTGCTGCAGCCACATTTCAAATCGTACTCGCATTCAAGACCGCCGATCCCGTCGGAAATTGCCTTCGCTTCGGAGTACATGATCGCTTATTAGCCATGTGTTCATCCTGTGACGAGTTGTCGGTGCCTCGGTTGCGGTCGGCCGAAGAGATCCTGAGTAAGTGTACCGAGTAAATTTGAAAGGAATCAGTTGCTGGAGCTGAGCCCCAGTCACAATCATGGCTCAACCACTCAAGGGTGTGGCGAGTTGGCAATCATTGTGGTAGTAATGCCGCTTCGAGCCGACTCAAATTTAAAGGCTGAAACACCCGCTGCAGACTGGTGGACCGCTAGAAGCTTGGCCATGATGATCGCAACATCATCGCGAGATGATGCTGTATCATGTGAGATCATGGCAATTAAACCCCTGGAACAGACTGGCTTCAGGTTGCTGAAAAATATGGATGATTCAAGGCCTGCCACAATTTTAGCATCAGGCCGGTCCACTTAGAATTTGTAGCCTACCTCTGCAGCAGACAGCCGTTCACTGCTCTCGTAGCGTACCAGTCTGCTCACGAGATCCCGTCCTTTGGAAGAAGCTCCTCTGAGGATTTCATCCCACGGCTTCGCAGGAAATCGGTAAAACTCGATCTTACCCCAGTCAGGGAGTTTCTCAGTCTCCTGTTCTCTATGTTAACCTAGCCCGAAGACCAGAGAGGTAGAGCGACTGAATATAATCAAATGACTTACAAGCCAGGTACTCTCATCTGGGGTTCCCAGGGTCTTGAAAATCGACTGAACGAGCGACAGATCACTCCCCACGGGCCCGGAATCAAACAGCTGCTTGTGCCCGACAGCGACAGCTTCGGCCACAACACAACCAGCGGCCCACAGATCCAAAGCTGTTCCGTATCCCTTGAACCCAAACAGGATCTCAGGCGCTCGATAAGATGTGGTTCCTACATCGGTAATTTTCTGATCAGCCGGCTCGGAACCCCTGTCTCCTTCTTTCCATGCGATGCCAAAGTCCGCCAGGTAAGCCGGCCCGTCAGGCGAGTCCAACAGAATGTTGGAGGGTTTGACATCCCGATGAATGATTCCCAGCTCATGAAGGTGTGCCAACGCGCTGAACATATCGTGCAAATGGGCCTTTATTTGCGTTGCAGTGAGCATATCACGGCGGAGCAAATGTTCCAAGTCGTATTTTAGATAGGGGAAGACCAGGATGAGTCTCCCTCCGTCAACCTTAAGCGAGTCCAGCAGACTTATAATATGAGGGCTTGCAGCTTCTCTCAAAAGTCGAACCTCGCGCTCAGCGTCATGTGGTGGCGTCAAGAGATGGGGGATGGTAACTTTCACCGCAACCACAGCTCCATCCTCACGCTTGGACTTATAGATAGTGGAATGAAGTCCATCAAACACATGGAGGCATCCTTTGAACGGACCAATTGCTTCTCCTCCAGTCCAGGCGCCCTCTTCGGGCTCATGTTGCAACTGGTTTGGACTGCTGATAAATGGAGCTACCGAACCACTGGCCTCTGCGGCGTCGATAGCATCCTGGCACATTCGGTCATATTCTTCCTGCAAGATCCTTCATGAGCAGACGTCCTGACGGCCGTGGTCGAGAACCGACCTTCGAGGTAGCTTTTTCATAAGCCTCATTTTCGAACCTCTTTGCTTGCGATTGAGCTTCAGCAAATGCAGCCGACGACGAAGCTCGCTGATAGGCGGTAGTCCTAGGCTGTAGTATTAGAATTTGCCAAGGGGGACGTTCTAGGAGACTGATCTCGATGATCGTATGCTTACAGAGATTGTATTGCCGTTAATCGATCGGTGAACCCCAGAGCTTTCTTCCAGTCGGACGCAGCCATCTTGTTGGATGTTTGGATTTAGACGCGTGGGGCAGAGATGACAGAATAAACCTGGAGAAGATTCGAGCTAGTCAAAGGAAGATCGATAACAGGCTTATCAACTACTGTACTGACAGTAAGAACCAGCCTTGTGATGAGGCAGCAATGTTTTCTTTTTACTTCTGTCAGTTGAAGCAGCTGTATGGAAAGCGACGGAACATGTGACTGTTTCCTTTGCTAACAACAGCAATAATAATCCTGCCTTACGATGCCTGAGGTATACTCGCTAAGCTAGCCTCATCCAGCTAGCCTCGCATCCCCCCGGCTTGACTGACCAATTGCCTCATCCCCTCTGTTCGGCTCCTCCGTGATTCTTCCGTGTTGCAACCCCATCGTCATCACATCACAATCCATCCCATCCCATCCCCATCAAACCGTTCCTCGTCTCTTGTCTGCTCCTTGCTCCACTCCGAGTTCCATTGATCGAAGGATTCGGTCTCTTCTGGTAATATTCGGAGGATTCCAATTGCTTTTTCACCCGTAATTGGGCTTCTGTATTCTTAATTTATCCCTATTATTATGCACCTTACGATCGCTCCCTACTGGTACCGTTGATCTATGAATCGGAGCGATGGAGCTCTCACGGCAGGAGTATCCAGCCCTGCTGGTAGGCATAACCCGATCTCGCACACCTTGATCTTGTCACTGCTATGGCAATAAAATTGCAGCAGCTAATATTCTCAATCTATTCCTACCTTTAGGCCTCTTTGCAACCCAACCAAGCGATTAATGTCCTCAATGATCGCATACGTATCATTAACAAGATCAACGCGGATATCGCGGATTGGCTCCAGGTATGGCTTCAACCTCTTAACACAAGTGCAACAGAAGCTTTGGATCTAACTTCTTGTCTTCCGCGCGACAGGAACGCCGCCGTGTTGAAGAAGCTTACGCGCAAGGGTTAAGGAAACTGGCGCATCGGCCACAACTTGAGAATGGGGCAGCGCTTGGGTAAGCTCGGTCATTCGGAACTGAAGCACGAAAAGACAAGGCTAATCTCCGTATGTTTTACGACACAATAGCATTTTCCAACTACCATGGCAGCGCATCATCAATGCCACCGAAGCCGTGGCCGCATCACACGAAACGTTCGCGCAGAAGATTGACGAGGACGTGGAGCGCCCCTTGAGAGAATACAGCAGCAAGAACCGAGAATTGGCATCGATGCCTGGCATCCAAAGTGATCTCGCCGCGTTGGCGAAGAGCTTCGAAGCGAACCAGAAGAAGGTGGAAAAGGCCAGGGAGAAAGGGCCGAAGGGGGCAGAGAAACTGGCCGCTGCCATTTCTGCCGCAGAGGAGATCAGAGAACAATGGGATTCAAGGGCACCTTTTGTGTTTGAGCAACTTCAGGCAGCGGACGAAGGCCGAGTAAATCATCTCCGCGACGCGCTGACTCAATTACAAACGCATGAATCGGACCAGGTAGAACGGTGTCGCCAGGCTGCCGAGAGCTGCCTAAATGTACTTCTCAATGTTGAGACTGCGGATGAGATCAAGACATTTGCCGCCAAGATTAATGGAGGCAGGCCTGTTGCTCCCAGAAGGCAAGAATCGATACCCTCTGGCGGGGCAGGAGCACCTCTTGCTCCTCCGCCGCGCATTCAGGACGATGCTGCTAGTCAACGCTCGGAGAATTCGGGCCCTGTCCGGACACCTCCTGGTAAGTCTTAACACTCCACTATTCACACAAGATGTTTGCTGATCATGTTTGTGTCGTAGCTCCAGAGCCCCGCACCACAGCCCTTGGTGGACTCAAGCGACTAGGAACTGTCATGGGCAGAAGGAAGAGTGTAGTGCAAACCCCTGGAGGAGGGCCGCTCTTCGGGGACAAGAAACATCGTAGTCCGTTTGCTTCATTCAAGCGGGGAGATTCACGCGACATGCAGATACCCGAATCCCCTACAGGTACGGATCGTCCCGGTACTGCTCTAACTACTCAGGGTAGCCATGGCGAAGCCGCACCGATCCCAAGTGAGATCCACGAGCGAGAGCTTCCTGGTTCACTGCCGACGAGTCCAGAACCTCAGCAAATACCAGCGACCACGAATGGGGGATCAACTCAAGAGGCTCATAATGAGCCGACACCGGCTGCTGCTCTGACTGCGAACGAGGTATGTGTAGACGACGTGAACATTTGGATTAAGCTCATGACGATGCATAGCCGCGAGTCGACTCGGAAGGGTTCTCGGAACGACCGCAGACCATTGACGAGATAACACGGCTTCAGCGAGAGGCGGCTGGGTAATGATTTCCGTCTTGCCGTTCATAGTAGACAAATCATGCTAATTGCTGTAGATTGGATGAACATGGCATGAATCTGACAATCCGAGATCAACCAATCTTCGAAGATGAGAACCAGGCTAAACAAGCAATGGACGAGATGGCTAATCAGTTACGTCTGGTAAGTGCGGCTAGAGAAGCTTATTCCCTGCGCTCTCGGCTGACCCTCCCTGCAGCAAGCTCAATACAGCGGAGTCAGACGAAACGCAGGAACCATACGTGGTCGTCGCGATGTTCGTAACACGGTTTTCATTCCGAACCCTCCGGGTTCGAGCAATGGGCTCCCTGTTCCGCCATCGGGGTCCGATGTTTCTACTCCTACGTCACCAGGTCTGCCTACTAGGCATGTCACTTCGCCCAGCACCGCTACAGATGACCATGCACTCTCAGATACAACGTCTATTCGCTCATCACACACCTTACACAACATCTCAGGCCCAGTTTCCCATCCTGATCTGCACCAACCTGGGCTGAATGCATCGATCGTAGAGACAGTCAGTGCGTGGTTCTCTGAGGGCGCTGTGACCAAGTCCTTCGTCGTAGGAGAACTTGCACTGGCCTATAATGCATTGAGTGGAACAACGCCGGATAACGCGCGCGTTCGTCTTGATAATTTCCAGGTATTGGAGAAGGTCGCTGCCAACCCACATTTCGTACAGGAAGAGAAGGGCTCAGGAGACGAGAAGAGAGGCGAGTATAGCGTCCTCCTCTCTAACATCACACGGTCTTCACCGACCGTGGCTTTCAAGTACCAAGTTCACATCGACCAGTCGGAAGCTTCGGCTTACTGTCCCGTGATTTTCAAACCTGCGTGGAATCTGGAAGAGTTCCAGGCAAGCGTGATCATCTTCTACTCTATGAATTCCTCATTTGCCTCGTCGGTACCAAGAGAATCAATCACCATCAAGAACCTCACCTTGACTGTGAATTTGGATACATCTCCTGAAGAAGGTCGCGAGTCAGCTCATGCCACGAGTGCTGTTATGTATCCCAATTCAGGGGCCACCTTCCGTCGCAAACAGTCAGCCGTAACTTGGAAAATCCCGGAACTCAAAGTACGCGCCGGAGCTGACGGAAAGCTACTTGTTCGGTTTGCGACTTCAGCCAGCTGGCCACGGAAAGGCAAAGTTGACGCGAAATTCGAGCTCCAGACAGCAGACGCTGGCTCTCGCTTGGGGATTAGTACCATGTCTCAGCAAGAGGACACGACGCAGAAGGGAACCGATCCCTTCGCAGACGAAGATGGCAGTCTGCAAGCATCTGATGGCCCGTCCGCGTCCTGGAAAGAAGTAGCCACAGTCCGCAAGCTGGTGGCTGGCAAATACGTGTCATATTAAAGGGGCAGTGACCGCCCATCCAAGTCCCTTAGATACGATACCGCCACGGATTATTCATTGCGTTTTCTGGAGTTACCTCGCCTGATCTGGCAACTTGTTACCCCTCGAGATACTCGTTCTTAGCACCCTTGCACTATTACTTGGTCCAGAGCTTTCTGATTCTTGCCCCCCTTTTTTTTCTCCCTATGTCGATATCTTCGTTTCTAAGTCCTGGTCTATTGATACCTTCTGGATAAAGTAGGCTTGTGTGGTTATTGTAAATAAGTTCTCTTGTTTAAGTACTACGTAGGGAAATGGACCAGTTCATACCGGAGGCTCAGCTTACAGAAAGCAAGACGGTTGGTAGAGATCATTCATTATATATTGACATGTGAGATTTCAGGTTGAAAAGCCGAGTAACATTTCCACAGATTAGTCCCCCCATCGAACATGGCACCAGAAATGCTAGTTAGGAAATCAAATCAACTATTTACAATACGAATGGGTACCCAAGACATAAAGGGCCATTATCAAGAAATCACATCCTCGCAGCCCGTGTGGTCTTATCATAAAAGTCCAACGTCATAGCCGCCAGGAAACAGGGTATATCCTTGCGTTCTTCGACCCAGAACTTGATCAGATGTTTGATCTCCATCGCGAAGAGGCTGTTCGGGCCACCCGAAATCTTCATCGTGCCGTTCTCGCCGTCGAAGATGATAGAGTTTTCCTCGCCGTTACCCATGCTCCCTGGCCCACGGGAGTCAGAGGAGGCGCCGGGGTCGCCGTGCCGGTAGGCGGGGGAGAGATGGAACATGGAGGTGACGCGGACGCGTCCGTTAGGGAGGAAATCCAGCTTGTAGCCTAGTAGGGAGGCGACTGCTTCGCGGAACTCGGATGATTTTGCGGTCCAGATTTCTTTTAAGCGGCGCATGCGCTTTTCCTTGTCGGCGACTACTTTCTCCATTTCGTTGAGCTCCAGTTTCATGCTTTCGAGTGTACTGATGGGCACAACTTTGACGTCCGCATGGTTGGCCTGCAGTTGGGCCAGGAGATCTCGGTTTTCTGCCCGGAGAGTTGCGATAGTGGAGAATTTGAGCTTTTCCGCTTCGGCGGTGGGATTGTCACGAAGCTCCAAAATGCGTGTGCGAGACTTGGCCTTGAGGGATTTGAGCTGGGATTTGGTGGCTTCCAGTTCCTTGCGGAGGAGGGCTGCGGACTGTTCAGACTTGGAAAGAGAGTCTTGCAGCGTCCGGTTCTTCCGCGTCAATACAGAGAGTCGTTCGCTCTCGGCGTCACTCTCAGCTGGTGACAACGGTCGTTTGAGGCCTCGGGGTTGTGTATCGTCCTGCTGTGGAGCTTCTCGCT